CCGAGAAAAACATCTCATTTTTGTTTAGAATTGGGGGGGGGGGGGGAAAGGTTTTTCATTTTAAGTGAAAACTAGACAAACATTTTTTCCAGAGATATCAGCACAGTCTGTGGAGCAGATCCGATCTATCAACTGCCAGTGGGAAATTTGTCTGAGCTTCACAGCCTAGGCCATCTCCTAAATTGCTTAGGGCTTCAATTACCCTCTTACATACTCCCTCATCTCTCTCCATTTCTGCCCCCCTCCTCCATGCAATCCCTGCCCTGAATATACATACGGAGTTCATCGAAGTGTGTTTCAATTCCATCGGGCCCTGGCACAGAGCAGATGAGTCGTGCCTTGAGGAATGTGCTCCATTTATTTACTAAGCAGCAATGGCCTCCGTCATCATTCTAAACCAAAGAAGAGCCGTGATTTAGGTTGAAATTCTATCTCAATCATGGAAGATCAGTGGTTAAGGGTGGGCCTGTCACTCTCACTCTCAGCACAACTCACTTCACCAGGTTGTTGTTATAATGAACAATATAGAGGTACTATATGTTCCGTCTAGGATATAAATGTCATGTATTAAAAAAAAAAAAAAACCCCACAGAGGCTATAGTTTTCATCTGCAGCTTAATCATACTGGAATCAATAGGGTTTATTTTTAGGCTTGCACTGAAACTGGAATATTAGACTCTTTTAAAAAAAATGTTCTCACGGGGAAAGCCTTGGGAACAGAGCAAGAGAAATGACTGTATGGGAAAGAACAGATATTCTAGCTGCAGAACAATGGCAGCAGAGGAGTTTTTTACCTTTCAGAAAGGGTGGATGGGGGAATACAGAAATGTTTAGGGTGATGTAGTTTTTTTATGGGAAACTCTCAACTACACCCAGTCCTGTTCTTCTGCACCCACCAAGCAAATGCGTCCAATGCGGGAGTAGACAACCGGGCTCTGTGGCGAATCGGTGGACTTTTCTCGGAAGAAAAAGTATAGCTTGTCATCATTTTTCTCAGCACTGTCTGGGATGAGCTTGGCATGGACAAATGCTGGATCTGCAGAGGGGAGTGAAATCAAGAGCATTACTAGGAGAAAAGAATTGGGAGAATATTCTTTCTGGTCTCCAGAAATTTAGAACTGCGTGCCCAAACTGAGCCCTTGAAAGCTTTGGTGTGGCCTCCAGACATTTCTAGACATTGTTTTCAAAAGCTAATTTGAAGGGGGAAATGATGAAATACATGACCAGAGCCTACATTTTGCCTCACACCCCTTCTGGAACTCAAAGGCCAAATGTGGTCTTCAGCCTAGAAAACTTGCACATCAGGAATCTAGAGAATGCCAGTACAACGAAGTCTGTACGATTCCTCCCCAGCATTTTGATGTCAGGCTTCACCCCACTGAAAAAGGAGCATCCCTCCATTTTCTTTTCATGCTCCCAATCTGCTGTAGTTAAGGCTTGAACTTAGCTTATTGTTTCAGAATACAAAGCACTGCCAAGTTAACTGGCTCGAGACTCTATCAACTGGCAAATTTCCCTAGCATATTACAATGGAACATATTACTTGTTCTGTTAATTGCAGTTATTTGCCTCACATCTTCTGTAGCCTTGTCTGGGACATGATTCTTTTATCTGAAATTAAATTCTCAATTGAAAAGTGATCTAGACTGAAAGTAAGTTGCGGCATGCCAAAGGCTAGGTCCCACTCTTAGGAGCACACATTTTGTTTGGAGAACTCTTGTTTGAAGAAGAAGACCTGCAGTGTCTCTTCTGAATAGCTCGCGTGGGGAAATTAGCTTGAAACATCTGTGTTCACATACCAGAAACCTGATCTGACTTTTTTTTCTTTGGTGCCTTCAAGTCAGTTTTTTATTCCTGGCAATTGTCTGGGCTAGTTCCTACAGTTTTCTTGGCAAGGTTTTTCAGAAGTGGTTTGCCCTTGCCTGCTTCTTCCTAGGGCTGAGAGAGGATGACTGGCCCAAGGTCACCCAGCTGGCTTTGTGCCCAAGGTGGGACTAGAACTCACCATCTCCTGGTTTCTAGCCTGATGCCTTAACCACTGCACCAAACTGGCTCTGGATCTGAATCTTAGCCTCCCCAAAAGTTGGAACTTTAGAATTCTACCCTCAACTGGTCAAATAATAGAAGCAATTTTAATAATGCAATTGCAGCAAGATTCACCACCACTGGTTTATGTTTCCATTCTCACAAATTAATTTTGCTTTTCAGGAACTGTGATGTAATTAGCCAAATTTTCTGGATCCTAAAAGGATATTGGAATTTCAGTTGAGTAAAAGAAGAGCAGTTTAGATGTGTTGTAGTTGTTTTTTCACTGCAGAATTTAGGACTACTGCATTTAACAAAATTGGTTCGAGTGCAATAAAGCTTATGCCAATAACAACTAAGTGAGTCTTTAAGAAGGCATACAGTTCATTGCTTTTTTCCCCCAGTGGCATACAAATACCAGTAATAAAATGAATAAAACACAGGTTCCAAAGTGACTTATGGAAAGGTTAAAATGCATAGTATAACAACAGTTTTTAAAATAAAAACCAACTACACATTCAAGCAACTAAATTAAATAAATACAGCTTTTAGCCCACTTTCAGGGACCAGTATGGGCCAGTTCATGTAACTGCCAGGCATCTGGTATGTCCTTATGTCTTCAGCTGGTCCGACCTACCTCAGCTCATGAACATTAGCCATGCAGACGGCTTACTGGGCTACACAAATCCTATAGTTTTAGCACATCACAATAAATAAGGCTATACGAATGCTGAATCAGGTCAAGGTCCATCTTTTTCCAGCATTTTGTTTTTTCACAGTGGCCTCTTGGGTGTTCACAAGCAGGAGATGGAGACGTGCCAATCCCCTGCTGTGGCTCTCTTGATCCTAGAGTCTTGAAGACCAATGGCGCAGTAGACCTGTACTCCTTGAATTCATCCAATCCCTTTTGGAAGTCATTGAAATTAGTGACCACCGCCATAGCTTAATTACATGCTGTGTAAAGACCTAGCTTTTTCTTAAAGGACAGGTGTTTGAAGCCTCTGACCATTTTGATTGCCCTCTTCTGCGTTTTTTCAGCTTTGTTGTAATCTTTCTCAAATGTGGCCACCAGAATTGTACACAATATTCCAGATGTGCATGTGCCATAGCTGAGTATAAGAACATTGCCATGTTGATAGCATTATTTTTAATCCCTTTCTTAGTGCCTATAGCATGCAATTTGCCTTGAAGATTTACCTCTGTAAATTAATTCTGGTTTGAATTTTTTCACTTAAAAAAAGCTTTTGAAAATTCCTTTAAGTAATGCTTCACACCCCACCCCCACTTTTTTTTTTAAACTAGACTGCTGTTGGAAAGAATTCCACATCCCTTGCTGTTTTCTGCACTGAAGCACCTTCCTGGGATGGGATGTTAGTTGTCCCCAAGGCAAGCCTTATCTCAGCCAACAGAAAAAAAAATGTTGACACAGTGCTCGGCGAGTTCAGCAGCCATTCACCACAGCTCAGCAGAAAATGTAGCAAACAGTATGACTAACTGTGCTGTAGTCTACTGGGGGGCACTCCTGAATTCTATTCCTTACGTCACCTCATTTGTAATGTAAATCGAGGAAATATAGGATTCCTTCCTTACAAAGCAGAGCTTGAAAAGAGTGAATAGGAATGGGTGGGTAAATGCTAGTTAAAAGTGCTGAGGCAGAGTTTCTCAAAATTTAAGAAACAAAGCCCTCCCAAATTTGTTAGTTCTTCTGCACAGAAACCACGTTCAGGGCTTTCTTTCCTTGCATCAGCTTGTTTTCCATTCAGCTCCTATACACATATCCTATGCATTAGCATGTAAAGGAAGGTGTCCTCAGTAGCTCAGCTGTGCATAGGATGACTAAGAAAAGAAGAAATGAAGCTTCTTTTCAGAACATATATTACTTCATGGCATGGTTGGGCTACATTCAGGAAAACAATTATAACTTGGAACATTATGCATCGATTTGGACATAGCCTGTGTTTTCAGGGAGGTCGGAGGCATATTGCTATGAGTAAGTTTCATCAACTCTGTAGGTGCTTTTATGGACACCTGTTCTCCTATCAGTTGATGATAACCAAAGTTGGGCTATCACTGTGCCAAGCTCTGAAGTCTTCTATATTGTTGAACTTCTTTTCACCAGGCTTCCTGCCATACTGCAAAGGTCATTTCTATCACTGCCATCACTAAACACTGCTTTTGCACCTTCATGAAGACTTTGTGAGGTTTCATTCAGTCATGATTTCAGTGTAGCCACTGACATGCTACCTTGCTTCATATAGCAAAATATATACATATGTCTTGCCTGGCAATACACTTTACTTCCATCACAGTATAGACACTATTCGATTATTTGTAGATTATGTCCACAGATCGTCTAAGTCAAAATTGTATTTGGCCAATTGTCAGGAAGTGTAATGTGATCTTAATTAATTAAATTAATATAACACTCCAAAACCATATTTTTGCTATAATTTCTGTGTTCTAGTCTTTACAGCAATTTTCCCATCTTCCTGTCAAAATTAGATTTCCACAGGATGTTTGGTAGCATTAAACATACTTTAACTTTAGTTTATGATGTGTTCAGATCAGTTCATGACTTTTAGAGCTGGAAATATTTGCTTAAATTATTTTAACCCATGCCAAACAGTGATAGATGACTTCATAAAAAACTCGGTAGCCATATTTGAAGGTGGCATATACCAACATCTTTGTTTCATTCTACATCTAAAATTGTTCCTGGACGTGGATAACAGGGTGAGCTCCTGTTTCCTCCCCAGTTCCTGTCAACCCAACGGGTCGAAAACTCGTGAGTAGATAAATGCGGACTCTCACTCTGGTGGGAGGAAAAATGCTGGCGGCGCCTTGCAAAAAGGAGTTGGGAGCAGTTGCCGGTAAGCGCGAAAAACCGTGCGCACCCGAAAAGGGCATGAAGCAATGGAAACCCCGCCTCCTGTGCCCGCCAGCTGGGCTCTGCCCTAGGAAGGAGGCTCTGGCAAACCACTTCCGAAAAACAATTGCCTTGAAAA